TATAATGCGAGATAATTCGAATACATATTTAGTAAGGTGACTATATATTGTACGTCTTTAAATTTATATTTTAATAATCGCTTAACAATCATCGCGGATGTTTTATGCGTGTGAAATTGCTCGATCATCGTGCGCGAATTGATATTGGTTACACGAGAGTGCGGTATTTTTAAGGCGAGCAAGGTGATCTTTTAGGGTAAAAATTGTAACTGCGCGCGTTTCGCGGATGTAAAATCGTCGCGAACGATCGATAAACTTGAAAGTTCTTCGAAAGGTAGCATTCATAGCGTTAAGAAATCTTTTTTTTTTTTTCTTACATAAGCTCTTCGACGAAAAGTCTACGATGTGATAAATCTTAATCGATCGCGCGTCTATCGATGTATACGTACACATATCGTTATCGCGAGTGCTGCGAGTGTGTGCGTGCATGCGTAAATTTAAACGAAGCGCATAAATATCTATTTTCTATGTGCACATTACGATCGATGTTAACGATCAGTCTAGTACCGCTGTTGCGTCACTGAATTTTATCGTGCAGTAAAGGGCAAGAGACGCCAACGGTGCCGTCAATTATAATATACATTCGGTGCCTCGCATAATGCGGAATCTGCCCGTTCCGAGGCTGTGTTACAATGATAGAAATTTCCAACGCGATCGCGGATGGAATCGCTCGTCGTCGTTTCTTCGGACCGGCCAGATTTCTCACTGTGTCCTGTTACGAGAATGATATATACGTTAAGGTGGTGCGACACGCTATGTGTATTGCTTGTATCGCTGTAAGGATTATTACTTGACGATGTCTCAAGGCGCGCCTTGGGTCTCTTCTCGTCAGTGTTGCATTATTTGTACCCCGCGATTCTTTACATTATGCCAAACTCTCTTCGCCTTTTTATCTACCCTTGTAATTTGCGTTCGGCGCGCGCTGCGTCGTGTCGCATCCAAACTATCGATAAAGCGAGCATCGAGGAAGGAACCTGATCCGAGGTCGCGACCGTGACTGGTGTCACGGAGTTTCGATCGGAGGATGTCTGATGTCGATAAATTCATTCTCGTGAATTGTAAAAGTCTGTGTACGACTGTGTACTAATTGCGACTAATTTTATCGTTAATGTATGTATGTGTAGAATTCACTCGGGATCGGCGCAATATGTTAAGTTTATTTGCGTTGGAAGATTAATGTGTAAATACATACAGCTAAATTTCGTGCGAGTCATCGCCGTACATCACCGTGTTATCTTTTCGTCTCTAGGGGCGGCGCAGTCGCTTAAAATAACTTACGTAATGCCAGTTGCTGTCGCGCGTATCCGAGGAGTCCGTAAGCGTAAAGTAGCCGAGACAATCGATTTGATCATGCATGTAAATACAAATGTAAACTAAATTCGAAGAGACGATGATAAAGAAGACGATATTTATTTCGAGAGGAATAGTGATTGTGATCGTGTTATTTATTATTAACCCAAGCAGACGTGTTCTTCGCAAATTCTTTAAAAAAAGAAAAAAAAAAAACAATGAGATTGTAAATAAATATATTATTATGAGAAAGGAAAAAAAGAAAAAGAGAGTTCTTCAACATTGCATCCCCGCCTTTCATTTGAAATTATTAGTTTTGTTCAAAACTTCAAGCAACGTGAAAGAATTTCGATTGGCCGAATCTGTCACGTGACGCAAGATCCGATAAATTCAAACGATTCTATCATGTGGTGGAGAACTATAAACGATTTAAGCGGCATTAAATTTGCAAACGACTTCAGCCAATTGATTAGTCGCAGTCGGATGTTTTTCGAGTTTAATTCTCGAGTTGATTGGCCAGTGCTTTATTATCGAATTGTTGCATACGGTTTTTTATGTATTAATTTTTCGCAGCAAATTGCGAAATCGTAAAGTGTCGCCTATTTAAAAAAATCGTAAACTCGTTTCGCTGCAGAAAATGAATGTAATGCAGGCCGCTCCACCCAGAGGACGACGCGCTTATGCGAGGGGGAGGCTCGCCTCGATACCGAATGCGCAACGCGCCACAAACATCTTTCCGAAATATCGTGAGTGCTGAATGAAAAATTAACGCGAACTCAATTTTTTTTTATCGAGCTTGTAAAATTAATTATTCAGAAACGAGACGAAATTTTAATGTGACTCTTAACGAGCCTCGGCGAATCCGCTCGATTTCTAACGGTGAATCTCATCGATCGAGGTCGATTCTGTGCGATCAATGTTTCTCATGATTTTTGTTTATTTCTAACATCAACGAATTCGCACCTTGAATTTTTATATCTGATTGCATTTTTATATCTGATTGCAATTTTTATATCATTCTGCGTTTCGCTATCGGATTCCCATGTGCGCCATTTTTACGCATGGACGTAGAATTCGATTCTGATTTTCGGAGACCCGCGACGAGCTCTGGACCCGGGAATTCCGTCGCGAAGACGCCAAGACACACTCGCAGAGAGAATTACATTTCTACGTCATCCTACTTGCCGAGCACTTCTCGCCGTAGCGTGGGGTGAGCTGTAAATCTCGCACCTAACAAGTCTTTTTATATATAAAAAAAAAATGCTATACACTTTGCCGAGAAATGCACGAAAGCAAAGTGTCTCTCTTCATTTATTTACTTCTCAAGAATTTTTTTTTTTTATATTTTTAACGTAAGATAAAACTGGAAGAGTCAACTTACGTAAGAAGAGTCCCATCAAGACGTTTTTTACATTTTTTTTTTTCTACAAACGCATCTTTATATTTTATTTGCGAAAAACATTAGCATATTTTTTTTCTATCATTTTTTTCATGCTATAATTCAGATTAGTTTATAAAATTAATTTATAGTTCCTGTTTCTTTCCTCGATTTAAAAATATAATTTGTCAATGCATAATCAGCTCGATTAATCCCACGAGATCGACGCCATTCGCCACGTCCAGCAACGCAGAATCTTGCGTAGTAATCGGTGAGCGAGTATTAAATATCAAGGATATTATCAAGCTAGTTTATATTGGATTTTATTTGGAATGTTTTACTTGTTGATAGCGTTAACAGCAGGCCGAGGAGACACTAGAAACGAAGTCGGCTTAGCAGCGATAGATCTACAATACCCGTACTTGATCCTCTGTCAAATCAGCGACTGTCAAACATACGTGAACACTCTGACAAAAATCAATATCTTCGATCCGATCGAAGTAAGCAGCTTTATATACAAAGCTTCTTATAAAATAAGAAGGAAAGAGATCGAACTAATGAAAGAGATCGTTGATCCTTCATGACCAGTTGTTTCTTCGGTTGTTGCGCAGTTTTTTTGTTTTTTTTCAGGTACTGATGCCAGAGACAATATGCGAAAATCCTAGCCGTGGGAACAAACTGTACAGATCGATCAAGGAGAAATTCAATACGTTCAACATCACGCCAATTTCCCGAATACACTTCAACGAGTCCAACGGCATGGAACGCGTGCGTACTCTATGCGCCAGGGAATACTCGACCGTGGAGTTAATAGTAAAGCAAAAGTAACGATATCAAACAGGCATTCTCTGAAAATTCTCGGTTGGATCTTAGTCCCTGATATTTTTGCATTTATATATAAATATAGATGAAATAAGTTTTATTTTTGTTTCTATTATCAACTATGTTGCTATTTTACATAGCTATATATGGAAAGAACACTTTTGCTAAAGTATTCAAAAATTTGGCCAAAGGCCAATCTAAAAATAATTTTGTTAAGCTGTAAATTATGTAAGCTTCGGTAAGCTGCGGAATATAAAAAAATTTTGTATCACACTTAAGTGTCCCACATAATTATTTTCAGATTTGTATTTGGCCAAATTTTTTAGAAGTAAAATCGGCATCCCTCTGTGTTAAAATCAGAACGAAAAGATTAAATAATGAAGTTAACTAGTGATATAAAGCACCGACTATTCATTTCGATCATAGATATTACGCTTTAGCCGCCGCCGCGGCATTATTGAAGTATGTGGAGTACGTCCAGCACATGGTTTACGCCCCGAAATCGGTGAGGATAGAATTCCAGGGATCACCGAATACCACGATGATCGGTAAATTACAGCTCGCGCTCCAGTTTCGAGAAACAGGTGAACGATCTCGTGATGAACGACGGCAACGATTGTTATTGCGCAGATATAGAGAGTACACGAAGTCTGGAACTGGTCGTCTCGCAATCCAAGCAGTCTATCGTCAGTCTGCTGGGTACTATGAACCGCTGCTTGACCCCCATGGGCAGAAGACTCCTGCGCGCCTCCATCCTTCAGCCTTCCTGCAACGAGCGTTTTATCGCGGATCGGCAATCTTGCGTGGCGGAATTGGTGGGCAATCATTCTCTGTGCAACAGCCTTCAGGTAGTGCCGCACGTGGTGTGCATCACGGAAAGAATCCCAATAAGCCTAATTAACATATAAACATTATGTAATGTCACCATTAATTGTGGTGTTTGCTGACACAGTTTTACTTGCTGAAGTAAAATCTCAAAATTTGATCCGACACAGATTTGAAAAAAATTTTCTTCTGGGCAATCAAAATAATTATGTAGGACGTCCAAATTTAGCTAGAATGTTGCAATATTATTATCATGCTTAAGTATCCTATAGATAATTATTTTGATGGGAAGAGAATTATTTTTAGATCTGTATCCAATCAAATTTTTTTAGATTCTCTTCAGGAAAACCGTTCTTTCCTCGTAGCGATTAAATTCAGGCCAACGATTTTGCGATATCTGTAGTATTCGTTTTGCAGCCTGCGGTGCAACGCCTCTTCGGCACGGATCGTTTGCTGGCGTTAGCGATTAAACCCTTACACGTGAACGACATGCAAAACGCGGAACGAAATTTGAACTACGCGCTGCTCTTGAAGAGCTGTCTGGATACCATCCCGGAACTGGAAGCGATTCTCGCCGCTGGTGTTCATCCGTTTTTCATAAAAATGCGAAAAGTCCGTGTTCTCTCTCGATTTCGATTCGTAGCAGCCACATCGATCACGACCGACGATATTTTCGCGCTTGCAGAATTTAGGCAATTCAGAATTTCGAGTTATGAAGGACAAGATTTCGACGCTGATACACGAGGACGCGAGATTCGTTAAGGGATGCACTTCCTTGAGTATGCAACGGTGTTTCGCTATAAAGGCTGATATCAATGAACTGCTGGACGTCGCTCGGCAAGTTTATTGCGAGTTAATCAGCGACATGAAAAGTAAACGCATAATAATATATTTAAATTGTAAACATCCAAGCTGCGGAAATCACGGAAAACTGTTTATAATTTTATGACTCTGTACGAACAGATATGGTGGAGCAGTTAGCTGTAAAACACAAACTTCCGTTATCCCTGGAATATAACATAAATTTGGGTTACCATATCAACGTCGTTATACCGCGAGGTTTGAATATGACAATCTCGAATCTACCGGCGGAATTTATCCAGGTAACTCTATTCGCCGACACAAATCGCAAAATCTCAACTGCGTCTACTAACGCAACTTCGTAATTGTGCAGACACGAAAAAACAGAAGATCGTTCACAATGACAACGACCGGGTTGCTGACACTGAACAAACAATGCAAGACCGCCTGCGAGGAGATTTACATGATGAGCAACACGTGAGTTAATTGTAAAAGATCCCGCATTGTTACACTAATGAGATAATAATTTTTAGATTGCTGAGCAATTTGCTGGAGGACATCAGGCAGCACGTGGGCTGCCTGTTTCAATTGAGCGCCGACGTGGCGGAATTGGACTTGTTGTTGTCGTTGGCGCAAATCAGTTGTAATCCGGAATACGTGAGACCGTCATTCGGAACGAAATTGGAGCTAATAAACTCCTTACATCCCATTATGGAATTATTTAATAGAGATCTTCCCGTGGCTAACGACGTGGTGAGTGTCGGTCGTACTTTTCGCGATAGGTTTACGATATTTCCTTACGTTATCTTTAAATACGCAGAACGCATCGCAGGCGCATAATTTTCACCTGATAACCGGACCGAACATGAGCGGCAAGTCGACGTACTTGAAGCAGATCGTTCTGCTTCAAATTATGGCGCAGGTAAAATGACGCGGCAAAGCGTCCGTCATTTCGAACTTCGCATTTTTGCCTCGGATCGTTATGTATAAAATATTCATTTTTATGTAATTGAGAACTAAAACGTACACGGAAAGAATAGTTTTACTGAAGTATCTAAAAATTTGGATATAGCTCTGAAAATAATTATGTGGGACATTCAAATTAGTTGTTAAAATATTAAAAATTTGTGTAATATTATTATCATGTTTAAGTGTCCTACAATAGTCTAAATTAAAGTTACTTTCAGATTTATATCTGGCCAAATTTTTAGGTTCTAGAGCTTCAATAAAAGCGTCCTTTCCATATGTATATTTTTATAAAAAAAATCTTGTCGATTCAGTGTAAGATACGCGATGTGCAATGAGATTAGAATTTTTGCTTTATAAGAGTGTTTC